TTATGGTCATCACAATTATAATGATAATTATTTTGACCACTTCCATGACTATGATCACATCTTCTTCCATGCTTAAAATTATTATAAATTGTCACATTCACTTCGGGAAATGGAGTATATCCAATTAGTCAAGATTTATTATTTTTTATCAATAGCTTGTCATTTTATTTAGCCACCATGAACAAGTATGAAATTGATTCAAAATATTTCTTAAACTTTTTTTCTTGATATGCTACTTGCAGGAGCATATTCGAGATATGAAAAGTATATGATATTAACTTAGCATCAATCACTCATGATCAATCATTCTTACCCAAAATGTCAAGGGCCACAAAATCAAGTTTTGTGATAGTTGATATCATAAAAAATTTATATCGCAAAGTATAATAATATTAGAAAATAAAGATAAAATTTAACAATAAAATTTAAATAAAAAAAAATATAATAATAAAATTTAAACTTTTCAAATAATACATATTAGATTATTAGATTTTATATATTAAATCATTTAATTTTTTCAAATATATATTGTGTTTATTATTAGATTTAAAGTACATGATAAATTATATACATATCTCTTAATGATCTAAATAATTTAGATCTTTTGGTAAAGCACTTGTGTAGAAGAAATCCAATTGTTGAAATAACTGATTAAATCTTTTGGTAGATATATAACTCATGGTTTATTTTCTTGATTTGTTAGAGCTTCGTGCTGATAACGTGTTATAAAATAAATAGAAATAATATGAGAATTGAAGGAAATGAGGACAAGAAAATGAAATCACTATAATGTGAATACAAACTATTAGAGCTTCAACGTTTCTCTTATTCTCTCTAGAAAACTTGTACACCAACTAATGAATAATCAAGCTTATTTATAGGCTTCAAAATTGTGAAGAGAATTGAAAGAACTATGAATGATTAAAAGTATATCAATTACATCATCTTTTTAATTTTTTATATTGAATGATGAATTGAATTATATTAAAAATCATAACTAGTGGAGATATGAAAAGTAGATGAATATTCATTATTTCGTAACGTATATCTATTATTATTTCAATTTTTTTTGAAAACACAAGGATTAGTTAAGTACTTTTGTTATACTTTAAGTACTAAGTTATAATTTACTCCTTTAAGATGTTATTTAAAATATGGTCAGTGTTAAACCCACGAACTTCTTGTTCCAGCCTTTGTTGACCTTCAAGATTGAAACAATTTGCAGTCAATAGGCTCTAAGAAGTTACCCAATTAACCTACCTAAAAATATGATCAAAGCATATAAACAAACCCTTCTGGTTTTTCTCTCAGAAAGGTGCCTGCGGAGAGAAGATTCTGACAGAAATCATTCTTAATTCTTTTTTAAAAAAAAAAAAAAAAACACGCTTCAGTTCTGAGTCCTCCATTCAATGCATCAGATTTGGTGCGTGACTTCTCAACAACCACAAAATAAAGACATTGTAGAAGCAAAGAGATTTGGTACTTAGGATCCAGATGTAAAGGAATCTCTCTATTCTTGGGCCAAAACTTATCTTCTCTGTCTCCAATACTCTTCTTTTTTAAAAAAACAAAACCTTTTCATCCCACGTTGTTCTTGTAGTGCCTCCTTTTATTTTATTCAATATTTTTAGTCTTTCAATTATTGTTGTCAAAATTATTAATAAACAATTTCTTTTTTTATTCTTAGTTTGGTATTTTCATGGAAAGTACAATGTGGGTGGAAAGGAAGAGCATCATTATCGTCTTAACAGATTGGATTTGACAATTTTTTTTTCCTTTCATTTTTTTTTTTTCAGAATAGTTTTGGCAATCCCTATAAACAGAACAGCTTCTGCGGGTGCATTTTTTAGGTCTTAAGATATTTGTTTAATGAACTTAAACTCTGCTTAAAAAAATTTGGATCACATGTAAGAGAGCATATACGTTGGAACAGCTTTGTATAAAGATTTGAATATGGAAACAGACAAGAATCTTTAGCTTGATCTCATTGCTCCTGGAGTGGATCTGTTTTTTCCTCTAAGAATTTATTTTTATGAGGTGGTTAAGCGTACTTAGTATGATTGGTTTATACCATAATTTTTAAATACTCGACCTTCTTGGGTGTTTCTTGATATGAGAAATTCGACTCCTGATTAAGCTTGTCACCGGCCCTAGTTATCACAAATCTTTTAGGGCTTCAGTAGTGCTTCAAGTGATCCTCACCAAAAGATTTTTTTAAAGATGCAGAACTTGAGTTTCCCTATTAATTAATTAAGTGCAACTTATATTTTCTAGCTGGTTCATATATATGAGAACACTTGCACATGTTATAATATAAACTCAATTGTGTCTAGTGATAGGAAGCTTTTTACATTTACAAGAAATTACCTTCTTTTAAAATATTTAAGTTTAAAAAAATCTATTATAATTGTGGAGAAAAAAAAACATTAGATCTGACATGTTCGTGATTTTGAGTTCAGTTTGACTCAATAATTAATGAGAGATTTGATTACAAGTAGAGGTAGATAATTATTGGTAAATATTTTCGCATGATTAATTATGTTAATATATATAGTCGAAGTTGTTTTCATGGGACAAAATGCTTAACTAAATTGCCTGTCGTTTCGTTTCTTGATTTTTTGTCCATAATGACGTAAAAGTACTAAAAAGCAATCCAAAGTAAAGGGAGTTTTCATTGTTATATATATATATATATATATATATATATATGGGTGAGAGAACAAACAGACAAACACATTTCTTTTCTGCAATGACTAATGAATCTAATTCCATGGCTTGATGATTGCAATCTAAATGTCAACGAGTTCAAGTTACTTGCACGATTTAAGTCCGTCCGCTCAACTCCCTAATTCATGTATCGTACCATTTTCTGGGCTTGTATGTCACATTTCTATAATGTTAGGGCATACTTTATTCCTATTAAATTCTTGGAAAATATTTAGGTGAATCCTTAAAATGCTTCATCACAAAGCTATCGTGGGCTTTGTGATCAAATAATTGTTTAGGGAATGGAAATCAAGAACTATCATGGGCTTCAAGATCCATGAAGCGTGTCCATCTTTGGGGTTACTTAAAGGTCCAAAGGTCATGTCTCAATCTACCCTTCGAGAGAGGGAGCCCGAAGGAGATATAAAATACCAAGGTAAAGCGACCCAAATCAAGTAGGTCCAGTTAGAAGAAATTCTTAGAAGGCCCACGAAGAAAGATTGGCTCCCAATAAGGTGGCATTTAATATGAGTTTAAAAACCAGTTAAACTATTACATAAATAATTATTTAAAAAAAGTAACTTTTACGTGGGTAAAAAATAGTTTTAAAAAAACGTTAAGTGCATCAATAAATTAAAGGATAAATTAGAAAATGAAAACAGAAAGAAATTAATTAAATTATTAGTATTATTCAGTATTATTCGTGAGAGAGAAATAAAAAAAATTATTTGGAGTATATTTTGACATAAAAAGTAGGAGAAACACTAAATAATAATATATATTTCTTTCGAAAGATTAATTTCATTGCTTCGACAAAAAAAAGGTAGAGTAAAATTTACTTTAAAAAAAAAAAACCACCAATTTTGAGAGTAATTATTACCTCCTTGAATAATTCACTTTTTCCAAAAAAAAAGAACCAAACAAACTTAATTTCATAAGGGTAAATTTTAACACCCATTAATCCCTAATCCCTTGTGAAACGTAACCTAAGGATACAAACAGATTCATGCATGATTAATTGGGGTTAGGCTCAACGTTGAGTGGCCAGGCAATGCATAGAGTGGTTTATATTTTAAAAGCTCTCAACTCAAAATCAAAGTTTGAAAACAAAAATTAACACAATCTTTTCTTTTTAAAAACATACAAAACGAAAAAAAGAAAAAAAGAAAAATTTATTAATATACCACGGAAAATAATGCTAAGCCAACAATGGAGGAAAAAAACTGGTCATGAAACAGCACTAGTTAAATATTGTCAGGTAAATATTGTTAAACCAAAGTTTCCATGCATGCTATATTGGTAAGTAAATATTGTTAATGGAAAACATTAAAAAAAAAGACTATTAATATTCTTATTTCTTACGTTCTTTGAACTATTATACTGATTGGCTATGTTTTAACTCCTTTATATGTACTTAGTTTTATAACTTACTGTTTCGGCTTGAAAAAATAATTTCTATTTCAGCTTTTAAATAATAATAATAATAATCAAGTGTGTATGGATAAATATGCTATAGATATAGTTTTTATTAAATTTTTTATTTGACATTTAAAAGTATATTCGCATGCATATATTAGGAGTAAATTATAAATTAGTATCTATAAGGCCTCCAAGAAATTAAGTAGTCCCTCTAATTTCAATAACTAATTAATTAATTTTTATATTTTTAATATATTTTTTACTTAATCTTTTTATTATTTTTTAATTTAATTTTTCTTTTTATAATAAATAGAAAAGAGAAAAAAATATGTAAAAAAAAAATATGTTTTGAAATAAAATAATACTAAATTAATCATGATCAAGATACTCATTAATTAGTTTTTTCAAAAAAAAAACACTATGTAATTCATTTTAGAAAACTAGAGGGACTGATTTATAATTTATTCCATACGCTAGGGATACAGATAAAAGGGCTGGCTATAGTTAATATGTTCGGCTGTGGTGGAAATGGATAAAACCCAGCCCTAGAACAGATGAGAGGCTCAAAGACTGAATAAGTGTAAATAAGGCCACAAATGAAACCCAACACACCAATATTTTTACTTTAAAGTATAAATTGTAGCTTGCATTCTGACCACAAACACAACTGCTCTGTTCGCTATCTGATCATCCTCAGCCAGTCAAAATCCTTCCTCTGCCACTCCTACGAACTAAGACTAAGAAAGTGCTATTCTAGCAAATCTGTTCAGCTTTCAGTGTTGCCAGTTCGTGTTAAAGAACGTTCCAGTTCCATACAATTACTACAAATCAGCAACCAAATGAGAACTCGCTGTCTTTGATTATAGAGAAGAGAAATGTTGAACCCTTCTTTCTCTTTAACTCATAGAACCCAATTATCACTTTTGTTTAAGGTGCAAGAAAATCTTCATAATCTGATCACTTGATTTACACTTTCAGTATATTACACAGTAAATATGAGCAATATTTTTAAGCTAACTATTGCACTTTCTTTCTGTCTAGACCAACCCCAGTTCGGATTCCTGTGGATTTTCTTCAAAGCAGAATGCTTTTCTCAGAGGACAATTTCATAGCAGACACTTTCTTCACTTCAAGTTAAACCGTAGTCGAATTAAATGCACAGGTACTATATAGTAACTTCTCTTCTTGGTCTATATACTTTCAGTAACCCAGATGGTCACATATTGTACAATGATCATTTTATGACAGTGCTCTTTGTTTTCTTTGGTTTCCTGGGATCTCAAGTGAATTTTCATAGTTTACTGTTAAAATGTGTAGGGCTTGAAATCAGTAGGAAGACAAAAAACATTCTTACATGTCTTATCTTTGCAAATTACAATGTGCCATACAGATTTTAGTGGGCAATTAGAGAGTATATAGTATCCTAATGAAATGTTTCTTGCTGTGCTAAATGTTAAGCGACAGAGGGGTTTTCAGATTTCAATTTGGTAGGGCATGATAGGGCAGTTAAATAATGAAACCTGACTGACTGCAGCAATTGATTGAGGCTGTGGTTGTTGTGTGGTTATTTAATTTACAGGACTTGTGGTTTCACCAAGTTGTGTACTTCCATTAACTGAAGAAAATGTGGAGAAGGTTTTAGACGAGGTACGACCTGGCTTGATGCGTGATGGAGGCAATGTGGCTTTACACGAGATAGATGGTCTTGTTGTGGTTTTAAAGCTGCAAGGGGCATGTGGATCATGTCCAAGCTCAAGTATGACGTTAAAGATGGGAATTGAAACTAAGCTGCGAGATAAGATACCAGAAATCATGGATGTAGAGCAGATCATGGACACAGAGACTGGATTGGAGCTAAATGATGAAAACGTCGAAAAGGTTAGGCTAGTAGTATGTTTATAGCCATTTGGGATCCCGTGGACAATGAACATTTAGCTTTATGAAGATTGCTGCATTATAACAGTAGATGTAAAAAAAATAGTTTTTATTTGAATCCTCCCAAAATCCTACTATCTATGTCTGTCTGCAGCTAACTATCACATCAAATTTTCCAGTGATCTGTCTACAACTCTATATTGCGTCCCAAATGCTGGGTTCTAGTTTATTATAGAATGTTCCATATTATCAATAATTTAGAAGCAACTGCGATAGCTCGATAATCACATGTGTGTGAATTGACTTTTTGTTTCAGAGATCCCTTTAACATCTCTTGTATTTTTCATTTTGGGAACATGTGATTGGAGCCTGTAAAAGCAAGCCCTTGCATACTTTACCGCATTTGCTAATCTGTTAGAACAGTAAAGCTAGTGCGCTGAACATGAAATTTTTTGCGAACTCTTGAATGTTGATTCACAGGGATATTCATTTTATGATTTCGGCATATCCTACATAACCACAGAGAGCTATTTATTTTATTTATGATGAAAGGAATAAGGCATTCCAATCAGTAAGCACTAAAGTAAGTTTAATCCTTTTCAGGCTCTTGCTGAGATTAGACCATACCTTGCTGGGACAGGAGGTGGAGTACTTGAACTTGTTCAAATCAATGATTATGTTGTCAAGGTTCGGCTTAGTGGTCCTGCAGCTGGTGTTATGACTGTTCGTGTTGCCTTAACTCAAAAGTTGAGAGAAACCATACCCGCCATTGCAGCTGTCCAGCTGATAGATTGATAAAGAAATCTTTACAAACATCTTCTACTGTAAAGGGAAAATAGAATGCTATACATAGTATGGAATTTATCTTCTTCACAGCAAAGAGCGTAAATGTATGATCAGTTTTTGACCAAGCAAATATTGGATGTAGTCTCTTCTAACATACCTAAGTAGATGTAGAAAATGAAAAAAGAAAAGGAGCAGCGCTCATAAACTGATTCAAGTATCTGTTTTCTTTTTTTTCCCCCTTAAAAACTTTTTTAGAGTTGGATGCTTGATGGAATTTTAATCGTAAAACCAGATGGATTTAAGTTTTGGATACTGTGCTCTTTCACTCTTTTATGAATTGTTTTAACTGCTTCAGTTAATATGAGAGTGCTAAAGCAGGGAAAGCGCAGCGGGAGTTTTCAAGTTGGAACTACTGTTTGCTTACTGGAGGCTGAAAGTTGAAGCCCACAAAGAGGAGAGCTAAACGCAAGAAGCTTCAGTTTCAGCGGTGAAGATTCAATGTGGCTAAATGGCTAGATACAGAAGTGCTTTATTTTCCAAAACAAGGTACTTTTGGCAATGTAGGGTTCCACCTAAGAAATCCATGATAAGTTTTTATATATATATATATATAGAAAATAATTAACATTAATTTCTTAAAGATCAAATAATTAATAAAATAATATCAAAGCAACTTAAGAATTGTAGTTTCCATTATTATCTCCTCTACGAAGATTCTGGTGTCGTTTTTTTCTCTCCTCAGAATTGATTCTTTCAGTCATCTCTCTCGTAAAATCAACAACAGAATGAAGAATGGAGATTTAATGAAATCCCGGTCTTTCAATCTTTTTGGAATAAATTAAATCGGTTTAAGGTTTTACTTTTCTTTTTTTTTTTTTTCTCGCCAAAAGGGAAGTCACGATAATTTTTTGATCATTATAATTTTTTATAAGTGCATTCTATTTATAAATTAGTTTGAACTACCTGCAGACCACCTGAACTCTAACATCAATTCAGTAAAGTTACAGCTTTCAAATGCAAAAACAAGATAGATAACGAGAATTATACAACTTACGAGAAGAGAGCACGCAAAAAAAATCTCAATTGCAACACAATACAGTCATAATCTTTCATTAAAATTAAAGATAAAGAAAACACAAAAAGTAGTAGACCGAAACTGAACAAAAACATCCAAACTCAACACGCCCATATTTTCCCTCAAGCTTTTTTATTATTCTAGTTCCAAGCTAAATCCGGGCGGCATCATAGAAAACAAAAAAGAGCTAAAACTATGACGGGACAGTGAATCTCCAGAACTTTGACAAGTTGGAACTTCTTAATACTTGTAGTCCTTGACATGGAGGCTCTCTGAAGCACCCTCGGCAGGAGTAGCATCGCCCTTGTAAGTACCTAGAGTAGCCTCTGAGTTAGCTTTGCACCTGGAAAGAAATGCAGCACGAGCCTTCTCCACATTCTCGGTCTTGCCACCCCAGGCCTTGAGTGTACTCTGCTGAAGGGCACGTCCAAATGAGAAGGAAAGAGACCATGGCTTCTTGGTGTTTAGTTTGTTCATGGCATTGAGATTGAGCGTAGCCTCCTCCTCACTCTGGCCACCAGACAAAAATACAATAGCAGGAACTGCAGGAGGCACAGTACGTTGAAGGGCACGAACAGTGAACTCGGCAATCACCTCATGTGCAACCTTTGGTGCATCTGATCCAGGAGTCACCATGTTGGGCTTCAAAAGAGTACCCTCAAGCATGACATGGTGGTCATTGAGAGCTTTGTAGCATGCAGCAAGAACACGCTCCGTTACAGCAGCACACTTCTCAATATCGTGAGATCCATCAACCAAGATTTCAGGCTCCACGATGGGGACCAAGCCATTCTCCTGGCAGATGGAGGCATATCTGGCTAAACCATAGGCATTCTCATGGATGGCCAACTCAGATGGCTCAGTGGCACTGATCTTGAGCACAGCACGCCATTTGGCAAAACGTGCACCGGCTTCGTAGTACTTTGCACAGCGTTGGCCAAGACCATCGAGACCCTGAGTTGTGGTCTCACCGTTAGTGCCAGCAAGCTCAACGGTGCCCTTGTCAACCTTGATACCAGGTAGAACACCACCTTCCTTTAAGACATCAACGAAGGGCTTGCCTAAACAAAATAAAAAACATTCAAACAACAAAAAAATCATATAAAAAAAAGGGGATGAAATACTAAAAAAAAAGCATAGTTGTTGAATCAATGAGATCATATTTTTTATAGTAGAATACAATCTAGAAAAGGAGCACACAGCTAAAAAAATTGCCAAACAAAAAGGTTGGATCATCAGTATACCTGATGCAGTTTTTTGGTAGAGAGTTTCCTCAAAGAGAATGACTCCACTGAGGTATTGGAGGGCACCAGGAGCGCAGAAAAGGAGCTCACGAAGGGCACGCCTGTTTTCCTCAACATTCTCAACATTAATACTAGATAGACGCTTGCCAATTGTGCCAGTTGACTCATCAGCAGCAAGGATACCCTTACCAGGGGTGCCAATGTAGGCAGCATTCTTGACGAGCTCATCTGCAAAATAAATAAAGCAATTAGATATGAATTTTCAATATATACAGAAGTAAGTTTCAATACCCATGAACTGAGAAATCAAATGAATAGCAAACCCATACAAGATTTGGTAGAACGGACGGTTTTCAAATGTAAATCTCAGTAATTAAACAATTATTAATCAGTATTAAAAAGTAGCAAATTAATTTATTTAGACAGACAAACAAAAGCTGTAAAAACTCGGATCTAAATTTAGATTTGAAAAATACTGGTGTAGTGTAAATACAGATCTGTTAAAACTTAAATTATAATAAAATAAAAACAGATCCGATCAGATTCTCCAAGCTGACTCTTAATTCATTCATGTTTAAAAAACAAAACTGAATATTTTTCACACTTACAAAGATTGCAACATCAAATATTCCAAATAAAAAAAAAACATGAAATCAGATCAGATCAACTGTCGATATGAACGAAAACGATAGAAAACGCATAAGACGGAGACAGACAGAACCAAACACAACACTTAAATCTTATCACGCTTTAGATTTAATCAAAAGTACGATGGGGAAAGGAAGTAAGTTTAATTTAATTAAAACAATTAAATTAACAGATCTAATAAGAAATCGGACAGAACAAATACTATTAAACCAAAAGAAACTAAACTAACAAAAACACGAAGGAAAAGAGGATTACCTGCGTATTTGTTCTTGAAGCAAGACATTGTTTTTGTTGTTGATTAAAGATAGAGAGACTAGCAGCAGGGTAATTAAGAGAGATTGATGAACTAGAGAGAGATGCGAAGCGAAACAGCAAGATGGGGTTGTCAGGGTTTATATTTGAAAAGATGAGTAGCTAAGAAAGGTTTGTGAGGATATGGACGGCATCAAAATTGTCGCTAATTGTTCGCTTTTTTCCACGGAACGCCCCACTGCCGTGGGATTTCACGCCCCCGTATGTTTTTGGTTTTCTGTTCTGTCTACAATTGTTTTTCCTTTTTTACTCTTTTATCCTTTCCTTCGTTTTCGGCAACTGCTCCTCCCTTTTTTTTCCTTTGTTTCCTTAAACAAAATTGTGTATTAAATGTTTTCTTAAATTACGCAATCTATTCTTTTTATTTTTTGGTTTTCTTCATTTGCAAATTGTTACTCACATTCTTTCGCGATATTCTTTGAGAAGAAAGAATTTAAAAATAAATCCCCACAAAAGGGCAAAAAACATATTATCCCCCAATTATAACCCATTCTCATTTAGGTCCCTATACAGATAAAACGACCCAGTTAGGTCCCTCATCTATTGGACACTACTCAATTAACCCTTGTCTTAAAATATTTTTCCTTTAAAATCATAAAAAGGAGGCTGTTTGTGTTTTTCTAAATTTTAATGGTAGGTTAATTGGGTAAAGTTTGTTAGACAAGGTGTGCAATTAAGAATTTGATTTATTTGAAAACAAAAAATTGACGATTATGTTATAGATGGGGGACAAGTGTGTATTTTGCCTTTCGATTTATTGGACTGTTCCTAAATGGGGTTTAAGTTTTTATTTATTTATTTTTCTATTGAACCGTGGGAAGAAAGCTAGACCTGTGGTAGAAGCATAGGAACTAGCGAAGGGTAGAATAGGAAAAGCAAAAATAAAAGTAAAACAAGTAAAGTAGCAGTGGTTTTCTAAAAGTGTCGAAAAACTAGCAGCCGTGAAAACGTGGGTCCTTCAACCAGAGCGACCCCAATACCTCAACCTGAGGGTTAAAAAGGTTTGTGGTTTTGATAAAAAGGTTGGCGACTTGTTGCCACCTACCCTTCCATAATCTCATCTTTTGGAGTAAATCATAAAGTAGTCCCTCTTGTTTTAAAAAATGAATTGATTAGTATTTTTTATTTTAAAAACTGTTTATTAAGTCTTTATGTTTTGAAATTTATTTATAATTTAATTTCTTTACTTTTTTAAATTTATTTTGATTTTTTATTTAAGAAATAGAAGGAAAAAAAGAAAGATTGATGACAAAATAAAAAATTTTGTAGAATAAAAATAATATTAAATTAAACATGGTTAATATTGATTAAAAAATTAAATAATTTTTTTAAGAGGATCAATTAATTCATTTCTTAAAACTAGAGTGACTAATTTATAATTTACTCCATCTTTTGCAATTTTTTTTTTTCGCCCCCATGGACTCCTGTCCTTAACGTGACTTCCGTGAATAAGATAAGATCTTATAAATAAAATGTCTAAATTCATCTGAGCGGATGGAGTTTATTTATTTATCATTATTACTTTTCTTTTCTTTTTTGAGAATAAGAAGCATTTTTTGTTAATTGTTGGTAAAGAATAATGCTACTCAGCAGTACGAAGAAAATAAAAAAGTACACCAATTTGATAGTTGTAATTTTTTTTTCTTTTGTATAGCACTTTATTGAAAAAAAAAATTAGATTCAAGTACTTATTTTATTACCATCGCTTTTTCAGAGGGAAAAAAAAAAGGAAGAAAAATAACTCCAATATTGAGAGTTAGAAAATTTGTTTCTTATTTTTTGACTAAAATAAAATATAAAAATACCAAAAATCTAGTATGTGGAATAGTTAATAGTACTCTCGGAGTATCAATATAAATGGCTGTTTTTAATAAATAAAGACTTATATATCATGTAAATTATATAACTTTATTGTTTCTAATTTGAAATATATTTATGAAACTGGACAGTTAATATTTGATAATTTTTCTTGATCAAAGATTTATCACTCCAATAAGACCTCCAAAAATTTTAAAATAATATCTGAAATTTATAATGATGGTGATACACAACTCTTTAGTATGTTAAAAAAGAAAAAGACTTTATTAAATTGGTAAGTGATGTAAGAGGTGCATAGTCCTAAATATTTATTTCATAATTTTACGTTGAAAATAAATTTTAGCAATGTCCGAAATGTATAGTGTGCTTGGAAAAAAGTGGTACAACAACAAGTTGTAAGTAGTTTATTGAATCTTGTAAATATTAGCTTCAATAAGTAAACTGTTAAGAGTATAATTGTAATGTATTAATATGTGTATATAGTAAAGTAGTGCAAGTGTAAACAATAAGGAAGCATGTGAGCTACGGAGGAACCTTTCCTCTAGTGTATATATAAATAGACACTCGTTATTGTTATAACAATAACAAAACAAATTTCAAAAATAACAAACTCACACCTTTTGTATGTTTCTCTTTCTTTTCCGTTCTCTCAACATGGTATCGGAGCGTCTCATCGTCTTCATCATTCGCCAACCGAATCAAGCTTTTCTTCTACAAACCTTGTGAGTAGTCTCTGTTTTTTTTTTTTTTTTTGAATTAGTCTCTGTTTTTGAAGAGTTCACATGGCGAATCGGATTGATAACGCTAACTTTCATCGAGCTCTAGCTAGAGATACTAATGATCCTCTATATCTCTATCCTTCGGATACTCCGAATTTAGTTCTTGTTTCTCATTTACTCGGAGAAGAAGAAGATTACAACTCGTGGAGCAAAGCTATGATGATCTCTTTAGAAGCCAAAAGTAAAGATGGATTTATCGCTGGACAATGTTTAAAACTAGATGCGGACTCGCTTGATTATTCACGAGTGGAAAAAGTGCAATGCCTTGGTTCATGCCCGGATTTTGAATTCGAGTATCCACACGGCTTTTTAATGGATTGGTGTATTATCAATCAACGGAAGAGGTCCGGAGAGATTTGAATGAAAGATTTAACAAGCGACGATAGAGCTAAAATATTTGCTCCACACAAAGCGATTCACTCTTTAATTTAAGGTTCGGAGAGTGTAGTAGTGTATTATTCAAAACTGCGAAATCTATGGGATCAATATGACTCATTGATTCCTATGTTCACTTGTGTTTGTCCAAATTGCAAAAGTGAGGTTTCACAATTGTTTGTAGAGTATACACAACAACGACAAAATAATGCAATTCTTGATGGGATTAAATGACCATTTTCAGCTTATGAGATCACAAATTTCATTAATGAATCCCTTACCTACTTACTCTCAAGCATACTCAATGGTGTCCAATGAGGAATCACGACGAGGATTCTTCAAACATAGCAAGAAGTACCCACGGCTTTCTACTCTATCAAATCTCACTATCAAATGAAGTAGCCTTCTAATAGAATGAATTGGCATCGAGACATCATCCGTGATTACTCGTCATAATGTCGGCCATAGCAAGGATTCTCGTTACAAATTACATGGATATCCACGCTTGAATAACAGGATGACTAGCGATCGGAGAGGCAGAAGACCCGGAGGCAACATTGGTGGAGACGGACAACGTGCATATAATGTACACCATGTGAATTATATGAGGCCCGATTCCACTCATCCGGTAGTTCAAACACAAAATGTGGCAGATGACCGATCGGGAAGGAGAAGTCAAGATGTTACAACTCCACTCGTGTTTTCTCATCAGCAATATCACCAAATTTTAGAGTTGTTAGCCTAAAATACAGCCTCGGGGAAAGGAGCTCCTAAGGATGACTTGATTGCAAACATGGCGAGTAACTATTTTTGTAGTTATGTTGATTTGCACACTCGCTGTCGTTGAATGGATTGTAGATACTAGTGCTAACACTCATATGACTAGTCAATTCGATATCTTAGAGAATCCTAGGAAATTAGCATCTAGTCTTACTCGTGCGATTACCCAATGGCGATAGAACAGTGAGTCACTCACATAGGTTCGGTAAACTTAGCTTAATTGAGTCTTCATGATGTCCTCTATCTACTAGATTTTAAATTCAATATGTTATCGCGACTCGTTTCACTACCGATAACCATTGTTTAGCTTCTTTTTATCCTCATTTCTGTCTCTTTCAGGACCTCAAGATCGGGAAGACAAAGGGGATTGGTAAACTTAGAGAAGGTATATATCATGTATCACCATATATTTTTAAATCCATACTCCCGGATAATGTTTCTTCTTGTAATTTTCGCATTCATTCCGGTTTCGTAATAAAGCTACCGTCCATCACAAATCTGTTAAGGGTGATGTAGTACTTTGGCATAAAAGGTTTGGTCATATTTCTCCGAACGGACTTCATATGCTTCCCGACTTTAGTTTTTCTACTACAACTTATAATTTGCTTTGTGATATTTATCCTCTTGCAAAACAATCCGGACTACCCTTTCCACGCAACGACTTCGCCACTCATACCCCATTTGAACTTCTTTATATAGATATTTGGGGACCTTATAAGCAAGATACTCACAATCAAGAGAGATATTTCCTATCTATAGTTGATGATTTTTCCCGAGGGACATGGACATATCTTATGAAAACAAAATCTCAAACCCTCCAGTTAATCATTGATTTTCATGCCCCGATTCATACATAATTTTCTTGCTCCATTCAAAGAATTAGAACCGATAGAGGCATTGAATTTTTGCAAACGACTCGTCATAAATTCTTTTATTCTAAAGGAATTGTACATGAAACTACCATTCCTTATACTTCCCAACAAAATGGTCTAGTGAAAAGGAACCATAGACATATCCTCAATATTGTTAGAGCTATTATGTTTCAATCAAAAATACCTTTGCAATTCGGGGGATTGTGTCCTAACTTTCACATACAATATCAATCGCACTCCAACACCTTTTTTACATGGTCGAACCCCATTTGAAATACGGTTTCACAAACCTCCTATGATTAAGCATCTTAAAGTGTTTGAATGTTTATGTTTTGCCAAAGTTCTAC